TCTTCTTCTCAATTGCTTCCTGGGACACGCATGTTCGCTTGTATTGGCAAAGGATAAAGACAATTCTTCTTATGAGATTCAGTAGTTCATATTTATTGGATTGCACCTAGATTCTGACGAAATAGGAGTGGTGCTACCACGATGTAAGTAGATCCCATAGGACATGCCTAACCGTAATAGCGGCTACAGAGGCAACCGCTGAGGAGGTGGGCCACGTGTGCGGCTACATTGCTTTGGAGCACCTCCGACCGAGTTGCAACTGAGCTGCAGAAATTTCAAGCAAATTTACTGCCCGGCATCAGACTCCTGCCTTAACCGGTGACACGTAATGTGTAACAACATCTCCAACTGAGTTTGCATCGTAAATTGAACTAGTATTGAACTAGCAATAATCACCACATAGTCAATCTCGCCTGCACTGTTAGGCAGTTCCCAGCGCAAGAGCCAGCCACACAGGGGTGGCAAGAGAACGATGAGCCAGTAGCTTAGAGCTCTATAGAGACCTAAGCTGTCGCCTCAGGCCGGTAATCTTGCTTGCGCTCATACGTCCATCCGGTTTCACATTTGCAGGCTGAGCGGATGGAGTGGCTGAGCTGATGATTGCTATTTCCGGTTGTGGTTCAGCTACGTGTATGTCCATCATCGGCTCGCAAGTACTCGAATTAATGCTCCGTCTATGTTCTCGGTTGCTCTTTTCTTCATTTCGTAGAGCTTGGTAGGCTGTGGGTAGCGCCACACAACGGTTGATGAAGGTTGTCCCCGTGTGCCAGGCCTCGATAGTTTTTCTCGCTACGCGATCATTTCCTCGACCCAGAATTTCGGCATTCTGGGAGGCGAACGTGTGCCCAGAGTCTGCATAGTGTTCAGCCACCAAAAAGTGGGTCAATCCGTCTTACTGCCTGTATGTATATTGCTAATATAAGCGAAAATCCGAGTCCCGGACATAAATAAGAAGGAGGGGAGATCACTGGGACCATAATTTTACTTTCCCGACGTCGCGAAAGTGTACCAGTTTCTGACATCAGAAGTGGGAGTTGTACCACACGTCACAGTATTTATAGTAAGTGACAGTTATAGTCAATAAGTTTTAAGCCAATTCAGAGGGAAGAGGGCCTAAGCGGGGAGGGATGCTCAAATATCGTGCGCCTTGAAGCGGCTTAACCTCAGTCAAGGCATCTCCCGTCGGGATCTGTTGTTTGCGCTTGTATAGCTGTCATCTCAGGCCGGTAATCCTGTTTGTATTCACACGTCCATCCGGTTTCGCACCTGCAAGATGAATGAAGCGGCTGAGCTGATGATTGCTCTTTCCGGTTGTGCTGCGGCCCAGTGTGTGTTCACCATGGGCTCGCAAGAGCCCAGATTCACGTTCCTTCTATTTTAGTGTTCTCTCTTCCCTTCACTGAGCCTCGCTCGTAGGGCTTGGTAGGCTGTGGAAAGCGCCACACAACGGTTGATGGAGATTGTCCCACTGTATTAGGCCTCGATTGATTTCCTGACTACGCGGTCATTTCCTCGACCCTGAATTTCAGCATTCTAGAAGGAGAAGGTGTGTCCGGAGGCTACGCAGTGTTCTGCCACCAAAGATAGTGAGTCCATCCTCCTTATTGTCCTGCTGTGTTCTGCTATTCGGGTCTGCAATTGTTTCCCATTCAGCCAAACAAAGTCGAACACGCATGAATCACATGTCACCCGCTAAATGACATTTGCGGTTTCACCCCTGGGCAGGGGTTACTTCGGTCGCATGACCAGATGTCGTATTGTTGCCTCTGGTCGGTGGGCGATGCCGACGAGAGACTGCCTCCGAAACACCGTCAATGTATGGTAGCGTGCACCATAATTTTGGTTGCTCGGCTGCCGGCTCTCCATTCGGTCGGGCCTGTCTGCCGTGTTCGATGAAATTTCGAGGATACCCGTTGGCTAGGAAGAGACGCTGGAGGTATCGTAATTCAAACTTCCCGTCCTGTGGCTCGCTGCAGTGTGTTTCTGCCCGTTTGTACAACGTCCGCACACAACTGCGTTTGTGGTATGCCGGATGCTTGCTATGGTGGCTTAGAATTTGGCGCGTATTATTGGCCTTCATGTACACAATCGTTTTGACGCTCCCATTGGATTTTCGATGGACGAGAACGCCTAGGAACGGCAGTTGGTTGTTGTTTTCAGCCTCCATCGTAAACTAGATGTCGGTGATAAACAGAATTCAGGAGATAGGGGAATTCCTGAACTCTTTTCCCTCTCAATAATGACGAAGTTATCGAAAATACATCGAGTCCAGAACTTGGGCCGATTGTTTGCGAGCAAGATAGCCTGTAATTATTGATTAACTGCCTCTGTGATGAAGCCCGAGAGTGGCGATCCCATTGGCGTCCCCTTGACCTGTTATTACGTCCCCCCTCGAATGTAAAGTACGTCTTCAGGCAGAACTTTAAGAGTTGGACGAAATGTTTCCGTTTCACCGTCTTGCCCCTCTCATCGCACCGGCTATCCAGCAGCTCGCTGACCGCGTCGACTGCCACGTCTTGTGAGATTTAGGTAAAAAGAGAGGTGACGTCGGATGAGACCATGATCTCGTCTTCGGTGGGTTGCACTCCCTTAAAACGCTCCAGGAATTTGGCGACTGAGCAGACCTTCGTGGCTGCGTTCGACGTCAGTGGCTTCAGATTTCGGAATAACCACTTAGCTAGATTGAATGTTGATGCCCCACGTAATGACACGATCGGCCGGAGGGGAATCCCGGCTTAGTGTACCTTTGGTAGACCGTAGAAGCTTGCTACGGGTGCGTCTGTTGGCTTGATGGCCAGTTGTAGCGATCTGGTGATCGCCTTCTTACTTTGCATTTCGGTGAACATTTTGTCCAGTTGATTCATCAGCTTCCTCATCGGTGCATCGTCATATGGGAGGTACGCTTGCCGGTCCTCCAGCAGGGCGTTGGCTTTCTGGATGTAGTCAGTCTTATCCAACACAACTGTGGAACGTCCTTTTTCTGCTGGGAGAATCACAATGCTGGTGTCAGCCCTCAGTGTTTTGAGCACATTCTCCCCTCCTCGGGTAATGATTACGCGTGGTTTGTGCGCCATCACCAAGGTTGTTACCTGTTGCCGAATGAGATGTTTTGTCTCGCCAGATTTCCGGATTTTGTTGAGGATCGATTCGACCGTTGTCACGAGATTGATTGGATCTGCATCCGTGGGGTTGAAGTAAGTTTCGTGGCTCAGAACTTTTACTTGTGTTGGCGTTAGCTGTTGGGAGGACACGTTGTGCACTGGAACTTCGTTCTCCTCTTTCGATGAGTTGTCACTTACTATAAATACTGTGAGGCGCGGTAAAAGGCCCACCTCTGATGACGGAGGCCTGTACGCTTTTAAAACATCAGGAAAGT